TTGAGCGCGTGCATACATACACATATATGCATATAAACTTATAGGTCAGTTAATGGCATGCGTTATGCTTAACTTCGAACGAGGAGCGCAAGCGGTCAAGCCTCAGCGCCGGGAGGTGAAAACCTATGGGTTCAAAATAACGGAAAATTAAACAAACACCGACAACGGTGTGAACATGTTAGGATTGGAGAAGAACAATTGGCGAGGATAAGTCGGATACGGTTTGTGGACAATACGCCGTGGGTCCAGAAAGAAGGATAATAGCAAGTACATAACAACAAATAAAAATAGGAAGAAGTCAGCAATGTAAATTTAAGGAGATGGGAGACGCACAAACAGCAGCTGGGCAAGTAGTGACGCGAGGAACAGCTCACAAAGAGCGAGTGTGTGTGTAGTAGTAGCAAGTGGGCGAGTGGGTGGGGGATACTGGGTAGAAAATTGAGCAACTCGACCAAGAAGATAAAGTTACGCAAACACACACTCATGAACTCGTGTACACCTTTCCGTGCACACAGATGCCGAGTGGCCAATTCAATGCGGCTATCCAACACTACCGTACCGACGGAAACCGAACGGGAGGAAGAGCGAGTTTCAACGGGGATTGAGGTACGCTTGAATAAGACGATAGAGGATAAGACAAGATGGAGAAACATGCATGTGTGCGCACGTGCCTGTGAAAGGCACTCAGGACTACGGAAACAGTTAAGGAAGAGCCATCAGAAACACGTACAGGTGCTTAAGAACTGATCGAATGGTCAAGAAACGACGAGAACAGCAGTGAAGGATGAAGAAGGGAAGGAGCGGGCGGGCGGGCGGTCGGAAAATATAAACGAACAAAAACAAGGAATCCCAGCTCGACAATAAGGGCTAAGTTGGTGGCAGTGTTTTTGGGTTGGCTCAATCGCGAGATCGATGAAGAACGTGCGGGAAAGCGATCGATCGGGGGAGAGTCGAATGAGTCCGTTCGAGTGTGTATAAAATGGAGGAAGATGCGCGCTCAACTGAGGGGCAAAATGTAACTCGGCACATGAGATCAGAGCTGGAAGTTCATTGGCAATAATGAATTAATAGCCTAACAATTCATGGGATGATCCGCTTGCCGTTTGGCCGATGCAACTTCCTGGCACGGGGAGGGGGGGAGGGGGAGCGCCATCCAGAGTGCACTATTTGTCAATCAACGGTACACTGCTACGTCGATGTGCTAAAGTAACAAAATCAGTGGCAGATAGGTTAATCGCCAAGGTGGGTTGATAACCAGTCCGATCGGGAACATGCCAAGCATCGGGAAGTGGGAATGGATTGACCGCGTCTGGACTACCGTGATTTTGTGGGTTACCACACTGCTGCTGCTGCTGTGATTGCTCTTGTGGTGATTGTTGAGGATGATGCATCAAATCTTCACATAAGGTTTGTAATATATTCGCAGAGGCAGTGCGTAAGGACTTTGGACCGGTTTTCAGGTGAGAAGTAGTATTTACCTGAGAGCTCAGATTGGCTGAGGTCCGAGGAAGAACGCCAGGGCGAAACAGGCGACCGGATCGGGTATCCAGCACAAGCATAGGTGGATTACGTTTCGAGGAGGACAATGTGAAATTAAAAGTCTTGCGAATAGCCCCCTGTGTTTCAGGCAACGAGTGACGTCTCAGTCCACGAGTGGTGATCAGGAACGTATGCAGACCGGAAATCGCACAAAGCTCATGCTCCGTTGCGGCAGTCAATTCAAAAGCCGGCGGTGTTCCAGACACAGCAACCACTTTGGCACTGGACGATTCATCACAGTTGAGCGCAAAAGTGACTTGATGGTTATGGGACTGCAGGAAAGAGATAAGCAATGAATATTTTTGTGTACAAGTAACTCGAAAATACGCATAGACATTTATTTTTCCCAAAACGGTATTTAACCCTCAACTCAAAGCGAAAGTTGAATAAAAATTGACCCAAATCGAGAGACATCTCGAGCAAGACACAAGCAATAGATTTCGGAATGGAATGCTCTTAGAATTTACGGTCAACAGGATGACACCTGAAACTGCTTGCATAAATAAAGAGGGGAAATTCGAAGACCAAAAAACAAATTCAAGTTAAAATTCATACTGTGGGAAGGAGAAAACAAAGTAGTTTAAAGCTAAGCTAGAAACAAGGTTTTATTCATAATAAATGAGTTATTTCAATCAGATTCATTAAAACCAGAAAATGCAAGACAATTAGATAATGACCAAATGATAATATGTCTGATAACCACCGGTTATATACACACAAACGCGGAGAAAAATTACCAGCCATTGAATAAATACCATTTTCGTGCTGTCAACGCGCATCCAATTCGATCGATTCGATCGCTTTCAAGGTCCGCTTACTTATTAGTAGTAAAACCACAAAAGAGAAATTACTGATGGAATGTTCTCTGGACGAATGTTCTCTTGGACGAATAGTTGGCATGTTTCGGACGCTGGGGTAATTGAGGGTAGTTTAATTTACATTTACACTACAATGTGACGGTTGAATGAAGATCTGCTCAATGGATGACAAAGAGAGTGGGCAAAGACCATCGTTATAATTTGCACTAATTTTTAAACCGTCGCACTAAGAACACTTCGCAACTATGATAACAGTAGTCAACAATTACGATAAGGGAAAAGGAAGTTGTCGGACTAACCTTGGCATCGGCCTTCTTCCGGCCCACACAACCTTTGCTTTTGAACACTTTCTTCGTCTTTCGTGTCGGCTTCGACTCCGTTGGTTTTGGTGTCTTCTTCCGAGTACATTCGCTCGGCGTTTGGTTGATTTCCCCATCCCGCTCTTGTCCCTTGTTCAGTTTACGAGTCCAGCTCGTCAGATTTGAATCCAAATAGTGCAGCAATTCGCGTGTGAGATTGGTTTGAAAGAACTCGTGCCAGGTGGAGAACAGCGGTTTGATAAGATTCTCAATGAAACCTGGGTGATGCAATGCGCGGTGGAAATGGAACTTCACATCATTCCGGGTAAGAAAAACGCATTTTATGGCAAAAGGGAATGGGAATGCCAACTGATGACTTCGAAGTAAGCATATGTGTGGAACACGTCGGAATGTCAAAAGTGAAAGTGACGAAAGTGGACTTAGCGTGAAGACAGAGCAGAAGTGTTCCTCTCCCCCCCCCTCCCCCGGCTAACTGTAAGTGTGATCTGGAAGGGTGATCACTTCAGCCGAATTGATTTCAACACTGAGATTCCCAAAAAGGAACAACTTTTTTCTGGGCGAGTATGACATTTGCGAACTGACGGAAAACGCCACTGTTTCCTCTGCTACAGACAGCTAAGGTCCGCGTTCTGTGCCGGATGTAATGATATTTATTGATGTGCAGTAGTTCTTCGACGGATGGGTCTACCGCTCCCGTCAACGTCCAGATATCTGCATTCCTCGAAAG